AAAGAAGGGTCTAGGCCCGAAACGTCAGCCTTCCTGCTCTTCTGATGCTGCTTGGCCTGCTGTGTTCATCCAGCTCTACACCTTGTTATCTCTGGACTTATGCATTATTTAGGGTCTGGGAAGTGTTGCCAAACAGGTTCATAATTCTTTGAAGGTGGAGTTGCAGGTAGACAGGGTAGTGAAGGTGGCATTTGGTATGCTTGCTTTTATTGGTCAGTGCGTTCAGTATAAGAATTGGGAGGTCATGTTGCGGCTGTCCAGGACATTGGTTAGGCCACTTTTAGAATACGGTGTTCAATTCTGGTCTCCCTGCTGAAAGGGTGCAGAAAAGATTTACAATGATTTTGCTGGGATTGGAAGGTTTGAGCATAGGGAGAAGCTGAATAGGCTGGGGCTATTTTCCCTGGAGCGACAGAGGCTAAGGACTGACCAGGTTAGATAAGGTGAATAGCCAAAGTCTTTTCCCAGGCTGGGAGAGTCCAAAACTAGAGGGCATGATGGGAGAGGGGACAAGATTTAAAAGGGATCTAAGGGACAACTTCTTTACGCACAGGGTGGTGCGTGTATGAAATGAGCTGCCAGAGAAAGTGGCGGAGGCTGGTACAATTACAACATTTAAAAGGCACCCGGATCGGTATATGAATAGTAAGGCTTTAGACGGATATGGGCCAAATGCTGACAAATGGCTCTTGGTTAACTTAGGGTATCTGTTCGGCATGGACGAGTTGGACTGAAACATCTGTTTCTGTGTACAACTCTGTGACTCTGCAAGTATCCCCCCAATGCTGCGTGTCAGTCAGGATTTCGATGCTCAAGTCTTGGAATTGGACTTGAACTCATACAACGACCTAACTCAGACACAGCTGATAAGGTATGGTGTGTAATTACAAAGTTGTTCCCTATGTGAACTTGCAACAACTTAACTATGACTGATTTTGTGACCACGAAATTTATCGAACCATTCCCAAAACCATTTTCATCTAATAACTACACACATGTACCCTCTTAAACTGGTACAGATGCCTTGCCAGATGCGCACCTGAGCTCGGGAGTACCAGATTAGATTAGAAATTTCCACTGCCCTTGCTCAGGACCCATCAGGAATCTGAAACCCCCTTGTTCACTACCACAACAGGTGGCAAACACATCTGCTCCTGGCTACCAAATACCAGACGTGAAAGAATACAAATGCGATTCTCAAAAACGGAAATATTCCATGGGTTTATCCTTTGCTGGAGATGCTGTGGAGGAAAGTATCGTAGAGCAGAAGGGGCGATAAATCGATGCAGGGAGTTCTGGCTGGGTGACTGCTGGGCCTGAGGCCTACTCCCTTAAACTGCCTTTCTCCCTGCCACTCGCTACTGCCCGTCAGACTGTTCTCCCCGCGGTTAACCACCCGCAGTGAGAAACACATTTATCACTACCTGGACTCTCTGCCCATTTCGAACGGTTAAAGAGAACAAAACCAGCGACTCTCCGCCTTCGCCACAATCCGATGAAGAATGAGCGCACGGCGCCAAGAAGAAAGTGAAAGCTGTTTGGCCTCCAGCAACAGCGCCACCAACTGACCGGAGGACCTAATGTCACACTATCGTTCATTGAGACACAGACAACACAGGATTCTGCTTGTTCTTACTTTCCACGCTGCTGGTCACCGCATTCAAAGGATTACCCTACTCCATTTTTGTCACCTCCATCAGGATGTGACTGCTGAACACATCTTTCCTCTCCTCCACTGTCAGCATTCCACAAGAACAGTTTCTTCCATGGTGCCCTGGTTCATTCCTGCAACACTCCGAATGCTTTCTCACTCCCCATGGCACCTTCTCATGCAATCACAGAAGGTGTAACATTTGCCCATTCTCCTGTTCCCTCCTCACTGTTCAAGGCCCTGAAAACACCTTCCAGGGATACATCACAACTGCAAGGGCTATCACTCACTGAAAATGTAGCTAGTGTGCAGCCATTCACAGAGCAAGTTGATGAAAGCCCATTGCTGGCAGCAATCTTACTGCATTAATCAACTATTCATACCATATTTGAACTACAATGATGCACCAAAGATGGGCAGCTTGGTGGCAAGGACTATTCACTTTACATGTGGCTTATGACTGTTGGACCTGATCATGAATTGACAGCAGCCTTATAACATTGTGGAACACATGATTAACGTTATGAACAACTGTTCCATTGTCTGAAATTCCTTTCAGCATATTAACAAATTTGTGATGGTCTACTGCATTGTCTATAACCTTTTCCTCATGAGGGCACAGGCCTTGCCAGCAGAGTGGGCAATGTGTAGAAGAAGAGGCAGAAGAGGAAGAGATGGTGGTGACTTGTCTCTGAGCCGATTCTCAGACTTTGGTTCCTTGGTAATCTCATTGCCACATCATCATTGTTTTACAAGTCCAGAGCCTTTTCATCAATCTGCCACATGTCACCATTTCATCCTCTTGGCTTAAATCCTGAAATGGAAGACAGCACAAAGCAAGTCTTTTTATAACAACTTTCTCTGACAGCATTTCCAATGATATGTACAAAATCAAATTATTCACACTGCTGCATTTCTTAGTTGCCTGTTTTGAAGGTGTCTTTGCCTGGCCGAGTATTCATATGTAGTGTCAATGGCTGCAGCATGGCTGAAAGAAGGCTCGTAATCTTCACTGTTTTGGATTCATCTGTGATGTCATGCACAATTTCACTCTCCAGAGAGTAGACACATGAGCTATTCTTTCTCTCTGGCTTGCCTGCAGTCCACTTGTGCACTGAAGTGCTAATGCTATCTCTGTTTCACCTTCTAAATTATATTCAGTGCCATTATGTGAGCCTATCACCGCAGTAACATTATTTCTTTACAATGAGACACCACTAACTGGTCAGGTAGCAGATCTTGGGTATCTGAAAGTAGAAATGCAAAAGAGGAGGATTGAAGTGAAGTAAAGGAATGCGTTGGGTGGAAAGCTGGAGAATCATGGTCAAACCCTTTGCAGCTTGTACTACATATCAGCAGGAAAGGCTGAGGTAGGATTTTAAAAGTGTGTAAGACAGGAACATGCCTTCATCCAAGAATTCTCAGCAGTGCAGAATGCAAAGTCCACAATCACTACTTTGCAACATTTTCTCTCCAAAGGGTTCAAGAGATGTAAGTTTGCCTGTTACATGTGAGGTCTATGCTGCTCTCTTCTGCTATACACTGTCTTGTCCTACAGGAGAGAGGAAAGAATGTCTGTAAGTATACTTTAATAATTTGGGGTGACATGCCTGACATGGGTGAATAGCTGTAAGTATGTGAAAGTAGAAAGAGGTTTTGCCAGCCTACAGATAAGTGTGTGAGAATGAATGCAGCATCTGATGTTGGGCACGAGTGTTGGAATACCAAAGATTTCTGGTGGCAGAGTAATGGGTTGTGTGCATTACACAGTGTGAGGGGTTGGTAGGTTGATGGATAACACGAGACATTGATTGATACACTTATTGACCTTGCTTACTCATGTGCGACCATTGAATGTTTGCCAGCATTGCTGTCAGGTCCTGGGCACTGGACTTCTGGAATTTGATTATGTGGTCATTTATGCTCGCATTTCCTTCACAGGTTGTACATTGAGAGTATCCTGGCCCTCTGTGGAAACATAACCATTCTACTTCTTCCAATCTCTTAAATTAAAGCCTCCCACTACTTTTCAGAAAGCCATAAATCCCTTTCACTGAACTGTGTTTCATCGATATTTTTAATCCTTTCCTCAAAGCCTCTCACACAGAATTCCACCAGTTGCTCCCTTTAAGAAGAACAGGTTGCCTTTAAGAAATACTGTCTGGCTGCAATTTGATTGATTGATTGGTTGTTATCATGTACCAAGATACAGTGAGAAGTATTGTTTTGAGTGTTACACAGGCAGATCATACCATACAAAGTGTATCAGGGCAGCAGAACAGAGTGCAAAATATAGTGTTACAGCCTCAGAGAAGGTGCAGAAAGAGCGAAAGATCAACATTAACATTTGAGAGGTCTGTTCAAAAGTCTGATAATAGTGGGGAAGAAGCTGTTCTTGAATCTATTCATATGTGATTATGTTGGTTGCTTTCCTGCGGCAGCGAAAAGTACAGGTGGAATCAAGGAATGGGAGGCTGGTTTGCGTGATGGACTGGGCTGTATTCACGACTCTGTGTAGTTTCTTGCAGTCTTGGGAGGAGCAGTTGCCATGCCACACTGTGATGCACCCAGTTAAGATGCTTTCTATGGTGTATCTATAAAAAATTGGTAAGAATCCTTGTGAACATGTTGGACTTCCTTGGCCTCCTGAGGAAGTAGAGAGGTTGTTGTGCTTTCTTGACCATTACATCGATATGGGTGGACCAGGATAGCTTGTTGGTGACCATGAGTTGGTCATGCATTTTGTACTGTGTAGCAAATCCCAATCATTGAATTGACCCACCAGCATGATGTTTACATGCTGCCTGCATAAGCTCAACTGGGCCTTGCTTAATCATTCCTTATGATATACACAACTCTCTAATTGAATTTTAGCTAAATCCATTCAAAGCAAATCAGAACTGAAGGAGAAATGATGATGAGATAATGAAATATACAAGAAAAATGATTGGAAAAGAAGAATCAGACATGGGGCACAATCTAATAGGGGTCTGGACGCCATTGGCTATGGCAAGAAATTACCACAATCACACAAGACTATCGCCATGTTGGGAAAAACAGCTGCGTCTTTTAACTGGGTTCTGGGTGTTGAGGCAAAATTCTAGCTATACAGAAGCAAATTGTTTATCATGGGTGAGTACTGCTTGTTAATGATATTATTAACTGCTCATCTGACCTTATAAATTTGCAGCTTCCTGATTTACCACCCACTGTGGTAAACTAGTCACCAAGATAATTCAACATGCAAGTCAGAGCAGGTACCTGGTGACTTCAGCTCACTGCTCACTCTGGAGAACCTCCATGTTGGAAACAGTTGTCAGTATCTCATGGGCAATGGTAATGTACACTCCCTGTCCACGGGCATTGGCATCCAGCATGTGCCAGCCTTGAAGAAGCCTCATGGCACACCTCTAATCCATACACAGTGCTCTTTTGAATTTCAATGTTGCACCTCACAATGCAATAGTAACTATGTGTGTAATGCTGCAGCAAGGATACTTTGCTCTCAGCAACATGCACCCAGTTCATAAACTGAGCCACAATGCATCACCACCTGTTCACTTGGTCTGTTAGCACTCACTTACTTTGAGCCTCTCCAGATGTTTGCAGTATCCCTGCCTTGCCTTGCCTTTTTGTGCCTTGCCCCCTCGGCCTCATAGAACTGCTATTTTGCTGTTTAGCACAGACACAAAGCCAGGAAGCTTGTCATGGTACCAGCAGCCCGCAATCAAGTCAAGACAGATAGCCTTCACTCATGGGTCCTGGCGCACTAAAATAAGGATAGTGTCCAATACCAGCTCAGGGGCTTTGATACCAGTCAGTCAGCCTCTTGGGGTGGTCAATGTCAGGATCCTGTCCACATAAAGGGTGAGGAAACTAATGTCAACTAGCCCATCACTCTTCTTGGCTCTCCCTGTCCCACTGTGGGCCATTTTCCTCCTGGAATGACAGAAGGGCAGGTGGAAAAAGGAATAAAATTGGGTAACACTAATGCAGGTGGGAAGGTGTCCTGAGTGAGTGATTAGGCAGCGCAGAAGACATACATGGTTAGTGCTGTCAGGCATTGCGATGGGCAATAACAAGTAACAGAAGATGTTGCAGGCAGTAATAAGAGTGGGAGGTGGGTGCAGTAGCCAAGATAGATTGAGTGTGATGCATCGGAGAGAAGGTGGTGGCACTTACGCTGGTAGAATGGATAAGGACATTGACCTTCTTCCTAGTTTGCTGTGGATTTATCCAGACTGACACAGCACTAACCTGGGTGATAATGTTAAACCGGACCGATAGGGTCTGATATTGTGGCCTCCACTGCTGGTCCTGGGGAAAGAAGACTTCACTCGTCTGCATCATTTGTTAACCAGGACTTTCAAGACCCTGCCCTCAAAATAGGGAGCCAATTTATCCTTGTCTGCCATGTTAGTTTGTTTCAGAATACCCGGCAATGGCAAGCTGTTCCAGGAATAGCGAGTGATAGAATAGGGCTAGAGTTGTACAAGAGGGGCAATATGTGTGGGGTAGGTAGTTAATGAAGTGAGTTTGATACATGAGAGTCTCACTAGGCCTTGTGGCAAGAAACCCTCTAAAAACATTGACATAACTTGCATCTAGCCAAAAAAAACTGTAAGATATAGCCCATGGAAACCAATTCCTTACACTTGCCGTACAAGTAACTTGAAAGTAGTTACAACAAAAGAAAAGACATTTACAGAATACAGATTGAGCTCTGAATGTAATAATTAGTTCAATTTCTATTCTGTAAAATTCCTATTGTAATTAGTACTCTGTGTATTTTAACATTTTACTAGCAAACAGAATTAAGCTGTAATATTTTGAAGAAATAGAAAACTTTGATGCAATATATTTAATACTTA